AAATCATCGGACAATCTCTTTGATATCTCAAGCGAGTAAAGTTTTGCTCAAGGTAATACAGAAACGGCTACAATCATACATTGACAGAGAACTATAAAGTAGAGCTATTGATTAAAAAAAAAAAAGGTCACCGGAGCATGAGAGTTCTGGTGTGGTGCTGTGGGCTAGTTAATGCACTGGACTGCAAGGTCCGTGGTTCAAACTCACCAGCTGCTCCTGGGAAACCCTATACAAGGTTGCTATGAGTTGGAAGCAACTCATTGACTCATTGACACTAACAAACAGGAATTGAATGTGACCCCTGCTGTATGCTGGTGGCTTGTGTACATCCCCTTTAGCCCCCAAAACAACAACAACAAAAAACAAACCCAGAGGGAGTAGAAGCAAATACTGTTTAATGATGATGCACAGAGGGGATTGTAATCATTGCAATAAAACGGTGAGTGTAAAACCGATGTTCTTCCATGTAAACTTATCACTCAAGTCACAATGAAAGCTTTTTTTTTAAAAAAAGTATTTCCTCCCCTCTGGGAGTCAAATAAGGTCATACAAATAATGTGCAGAGGCATGTTGTTGCTGTTGTTGTTAAGCATTTTATAAATATCAAGGCCCCTCTTTAATCTTAATTTTGTGCCCAAATGCCAAACCTGGTGAAAAACCAGCAATGTATCCTGGCTTGTGTTCTTACACAAAATACACTGGGTAGGGGCTGATAGAGATGGTTTCCTCTCACAGAATTCTATCTGTAGTTAGTAAGTAGTCAGCACTCTAAGAAACACATGCAAGGGAGGTGAAAGTAACAGAATGTTTACTATATAATGATATTGTAATCCCCAGTGCTACAGTTATTAGGATGGGAAGTCTCTTAGCAAGTTGGAGCTGAAAGCTAGACAAGTTACTTAAAGTTCTTTTCCTGCACATTTCACAGAGCAAGCCTGCATAATTTTGCTTTTGATTAGGTTTCACTGTAACTTTCCTACGGAACTCCACATTTTCATGCCCCAAGGACATTTTCCCTGTCTTCTTAGGCAGAGGTGACAGTAACAGTGAAAAACAGATGTTCACCAAGCTAACAGCTGTAAGGTTAATGTTCCACTTTGGGGTTACAAGAGCAGCTGAGTAACTTTCAACTTCTTACTCAACAGAGTAGGGATGGATCAGGAGAGGACACAAGCCAGCTTTTTGAAAGTTTGCTGGCGCTTAGAGCCAGTGAAACTTAACACGGGCACATTCATGTTTAGTTGATGTTGAGTGCTAATTTTAGCCACATGACAGGAGGCAAATGTCTTCGCCTTTGTTGTTGATCATTACTTTAATTAGCAAATTGATGAGCCAATAAATGAAAGGCAGGAAATACACTGGGAGAGATGGTCCAAGAAATCAATGGTATTCCAGGGAAAATCTAAACAAGGCCAGACAGATTCGTGAGAAAAGACGAAAGTGACGTCAAAGAGGAAGGCATAAGACAACTTCACAGGTCCAGGTTTGGTAACAAAATGTAGAATGGAGGCATTCCTCCCTCCTCCAGCCAGCTGGTGTCCCAGTCTTATCTCTGGAGTTCTGTTTAAT